TAAACCTAATAGAAGTATTACATCACACAACAGCATCATTACAGTTAGCTGTTTTATTGCCCGTCAGGTCCCGTATTTGTTTTTAACTTCCACATCCTCCGCCTCGCTTTCGCTGCGTCCCCTTAACCCCCCCCCCCCCCCCCCCCGGCCCCCTGCTGTCCCCCCCCCGGGTGCCTGTGCTTGCCGGTGCCACGGGCGTAGCAGAATGACAGAGCGAGGGGTCATTAACGCAAACTAACCAGCCCTCAGACAGAGAGACGGAGGCGGGGGAGAAGAGAGTAAAGCACGGCACCTACTGCGAAACTGTACAAATGATATGGGGGGGGGGGGCAGGAGAGACTAGCATGGGGTCAAAAAAACACATACACGTTTTTGCAATGTAGACTTTTTAACGTTTTATTTGAATAAGGAATAAAAAGAGGACGTTGCCATGTGAAAAGACGCTTTGGGTGAAGGAAGAACATTCCATCCTGACGCGTACGGGCCTTTGTTGGCGTACAGTCAGCGTTCGCACACACGTTTAATCATGTCCCACTGGTCCGTGACAAGTAACGAGCAGTCAAAGGGAGAAATAAGCAATTATTCTGGTATATATGAGTCTGAAGGAGAGGAAACAAGCCCCATATGTCCTCATTGCTCATTTGGTATGTTGCATTCACAAACACACACACACACATACACGCAAAGACGAGCCAGACACTGTGCGCGTATCTCCCGTTCCAGGAGAATGGAATAAATACTGCACACAACCAACCAAGAGGCCAGAAAAATACATTCCATGCCTGTTGAGCTACACAATAGGCGGAAAAATACGAATTCACCTTCAGCCGTTTGCGTGAGCGCCAGTGCATCAAACAGCCAACGGTAATGTCACCCTGCACTTCAAGGAGAGAGTTGTAGTTACTACTTTGTCATTCACAGGCCAACTTTCCGCTTCGTTATTCCTCGCCGTGTGTGTGTGTGACCTCTCCCTGAGCTCCTCTCACAACGCGCCTGACCTCTGCGCGTCTTTCTCCACCATCAACCGCGCAGGGACTCCTGAAATATCTAATTGTATTCATTCATTTTCTGCGCCCCGGCAAGGAGAGGCAGACACAGATAGGGAGGAAGGGAGGCGAGGGAGGGAGGGAGGAAAAGACGGGGCGAGGCAGAGCGGCCCGAGAGGCAACGCGGGAGAAAGTCGAGGAGGGATACGGGGGAGATGAAAGAGCATGAGGGGGAGAAAAGGGAGGAAAGGGTCGTCTCCTCGGCATTACGGCTGAGACACCATTAGAGCCACTGGCTGTCCTCTAATTATAATAAAAACTCACAAGCAAAGGCAGTCAGAGGGCAGCATCCTGAGAGAAATGCCCATGTACTGTATTTATATGCGGCTGAAGGAAGGACGGATAAAACTCCAACATTTCCGTCCCTCAAAATAACTTTTTTGACGGGATAAATGCTGAAAAGGAAATATAAAGTGAGACTCGTTTGAACAAAAGAGCAGGTATAATGGAATGGAAATGCAAGTAAAAAAGCAAGTTTCACGCTGGATTTGATAAATAAGTGAAGCCTACAAGACGCTACGGAAATCCCCTCTGCCCCAAACGCCCCAAATCGCCTCAACAACACAAACCCCGAGCAGAAGGAAGCGTGGCACCGCTAATGCGGAGTCCGACGCACTAAACCAATAAACACCAAACTAGCAACGCTTTTCACTTCCAACCACTGGAAAACCAAATATAGGAAATACCAAGCTGCAGAAGAACGTTTTGCCGAATAAAGGTTCCATTTCAGACACAAAAAGTTGTTATCTGAGATTCCACATTCAATGCGTACATTGAAAGTCTCGGCTGCAGTAATGTTTTGTCTACCGTTGAGTCGAAACCACAGCAGGAGGAGCCTTTTTAGTTACTTTTGTCTACATCTAGTTCAAACTTTCCCAAAGGATTTTACAAAATTGAAATAGTTGGAAACAGGAGTGACAGAGTTTATCCGTAAAGCGGCTTTTTGCTAATATTTCTATAAATCGGTTGCCATTTCTGTCTGAACACTTCAGCGTTTTGTTCACGCTGATGTAAGACGTGCAACTTGGCCACAACAATTTCACAGCAAAACAGACATTGTGAAAAAAACGAGCTCAAACTGCCGCTTTACTGCGATAGATCATTTTGCTATGGAGCAATTTTCAAGCCTGCGCAAGTTGAAGTTTCAAAAACGAACGGCAACAAAGGGCTTTTTCTTCTGGCGGTAAATGGAGCTTTGTTCAGACACCAACAAGAAAGAACCTCAAGAGAACCAAACAAACATTTAAAGTTACCTTCTATCGTCATTACGACCAATTACATTATCGATTCCAGAGCGTTGCCATCATGAAGTCAAACCCAACACTGGCCCGTACGTGCCGGTTCATAGTGCGCCCTGGGCCGTTCACACGGGGAATTCTTGGAGGAGCCGACATTTCGGTCGTGGCTGCTGCGGAGCCGAAATTACACGGCGGTGCCACGCCAGCTTTCCACAGTCGCCTAATGCGCGAGGAAAGGGACTTTAACACGTATCATCTGAGTCATCAATGAGACGCGTCTTCCATCTCTCCGTCTCCTCCCTGCTGTTGTGTTGCCGTCCTGCCTCGAGCCAGAGGGGTGAGAGTCAGACTGATTCTATTTAGAGTAAGTAGAACGGAGTGACTGGTGTTACGTGGTGTTACAGACTGTCCAAAAACCGGTTTGCTTTTCTCCTCGGGCGAGTCAGGCTCAGGAAGCTACCTATTTCTCAGATGTGAGTATGGACGGGGAGCTAAAGACACAACATGCAGGCAGCCAAATGGATCTCAGAGTTTTGCTTTCTCCTCTCTCTCTCTCTCTCAGAGGTAGTGTGTCACATCCGAGATCAACAGATTTACTTGAATTTCCCCTATTTTCTCCCCCTGCCACTAAAACTGAGAAAGCTTGTCAGCAACATCTGGAAGATATCAAGTTAACCGAACGGCCAGTCAAGTGAAAAATGTTCTTTTGTAGAAAGTACAACAAAAAAAAAGAAATACAGTCTAAGAAAAGTCTATCAACGGCAGGGATCGAGATTCAATTCACAATTGTGTTTGCGTCCATCGTGGAAAAGTGGTCCATAAATAAACAGCCGGGGCGAGTCAGAGCAAAGACCAAGACCACAACAGTCACGCTCGACGGGATATCAGGCCCAGGATCTACGCGCCCTGCCGGACCGGCCCCGGCTTCGGCAGAGGGCTCGCAGTCAGCCGGCCGCTTGTACGCCTGACCACTAATTGCGTCAAGCAATAAATCATGTTTTGCCGAAACTTCAAACTGAATATAAATAGTTGTGCAACAAATTCAGCTTGGTCTATTAACGGCTTTGTGCGCACTCGGAGGCTAAGCTGTGGATTTTATTCAACAAACACTAAGTGCCGTTGGCAGTTGAGTGAAAGATCTCTGTAAACTCCGGCAGCAGTGTTTAGACTTAATAAGCCGGGGACAAGGCCGTACAGTCTGACTCCACGAGGGACTTTTAGTGGAAAACGCTGTCTCGACAAAACATGCATACTGAACACTGACTTCCAGCCAGTCCGAGCAGAGACGCTGTTCGACTGGAGCAGTATCTGAGGAAAGTTTCCAAATTTAAACTCTTCTGAGGTTCCCTCGCACGGCTCATCTGAGGGAACGGCACATCAATTGCTCCCTTCACTACGGGTGCTGAGTCTAATTTGGTTTTCCTTCCGCTTAATAGCAAGGTAAAAGTGAAAAGCACATTTAACGATGTTTAAATGAACTGTTTGAGTATTATTAAATTCAGACTATGAACTTGCTGGCTGATATGCAAAACATATGATAAAAGAAAAGCTTTTGAAGTTTAATTTGGGGCAACTTTGTCCGTTTTAGAATAAAAAAAAGCTGCACACTGTCAAAAGTTTCTCATCGAAAAAATCCCTTTATGTTTATGATCCAGAAATAGTTTTTGCAGAATTTATTATGTATGTTTATGAACTCTATCATTTGATCTCTGAAATATCTATTATTTTAAATAACCTAATTGAATATATATATATATTCTATTTTTTATTATTTTTGCTTACATATTTACCAATGTAAGTAAGGCATGTAGCAATCCAACATTATGATGCTGCACACGAAACAATTTTAGAACGTTTACTTATAAACTTAATTACAATGAACACAATTTGGATGAAGGAAACGTTTGTGACAGAAAAAAGTGATCTAAAAAGTAATAACATTGCTCTCGTTTTCTGTAATTCTTCTGCCTCGGTGACTTTATTATATTTATGAAGCAGATCTGTTCTTATACGTGCGCTGGGGCCGCTGCGTGCGCGTAAACTATATATATAAATATAGGTGTACTTAATTTAGGGAGCTTTCTTAATATTGCCCGATATAGGCTTCATTATATTCTCACTGACTTCATTTAGTAGTCTTAGTTAGGGACAAAGCCACACAGTTAACACCGCATCCGAACGCTGTCCCCTCTCACACCGCGCAGGTCCGACGCGTTTGGCCCACCAAGTTAAGTCGGGCTCAAGTAAGTCACCGAATGGCAACATTGGACGGACTTGAAACTGCTCCCGGTGGGTCCAGCTGGGTGGTGTAGATCAATAGCTCGAGGAACCAGCCACGGTGAAGCTCTGAAGCAACTCACAATGGAGCGGACAGTGGGTGCAACACCAGCCGGTGGATGTTGTGCCCGAGGCGTATTATTACGCACGGGGTCTAAAGGTTCCCTGATGGACGCGCTGATAATGAGGAGCAATTGAAAAAAAATAAAGACACGGGTTGCGGGTTTTTTTGTGTCTGTTTTGCTCTCCTGCCTCTTTCCTCGGCTCCAGCGTGTACCTATACAACTACTGGCATTATGCCCTCACTGCGGAGAATAAACGCCGATGTGGTCCCGCCAGAGCCCACGAGCGGCCGGGGTTCACGCAGATGCGTGGCCGACCGTCCGCGGTGCAGATAAACAAACGAGGGGAATAAAACACCCGGTGCGAGGCCACTTACTTGGCGTTGGTCCGGTTCCAGAAGACGGCGTAGCGGTCGGCCACCACTTTGGAACTGGGCTCCTGGCTAAATACACACATCAACAGCGCCAGGCAGAGGAAGATGACCATTTCCATTTGCAGCATCACTACGGCGAAACTTCGGCACGTATTCCTCTTCGGCGTCGCGTCGGTCGGTCGGTCGGGTCGTGCGGAGGCGCTTCAACCGGGACAGGTGATGCGCGTCTCATTCACTTACGTGGCCGCTGGCGCTGTTTGTCGATGCCAAACGAGTGAGCCAAAGAAACAAGGCGCTCGAAAGGGGACGTGAGCATTCGAAGGGGTGGGAGACACGTGAGGAGACACTTGTTCGGTTTGACGGGGATTTAAAGTTGCGATGGAGGAAGAGAAAAAAAAAAAAAAAAAGAAAGAAAGAAAAAACCCGACGCGTCACCGTGTCGTCTCTGTGATGCGGGTCGATCGTCCGGATGAATCACAGGCTCTCCCTTCTTTCTTTTTCTAAATGTCACGCAGGGTGTCAGTTGGGAGAAAATATGTCTCTCGCCTAACTCACACAACAAATGCGCAGCACAACAGGCACTGCCTTGTGGCGCGGCTCGGGCGGACGCAGGGCGCGCTGCTGGACGGAGCCTGTGTCAGGGCAAAGGACAACTGCCGAACACTTCTTCTTACTCCACGGCCAAAGCGCAGGAGTGTGTGTGGGGGGAGTACAGTCAGTCCACCGTGTGATGGAGAAGAGAGAGAGAGTGAGAGCGGGGGGAGGGGGGGGGGGGGCGCTCGATGTGTCCAATGACGCCGGGGGGCGCACGTCAGATGTCCATGTTCTCCATGCAACTTTTTAAAGCCATACAGTCAGCCGGCGGACGGGGACGTCTTTCGCCTTCGGCCTTTAATACGAGGGGGCAGTTATCCTTTCCTCGGGTGTGTGCCGGAGGTGTCGCGGCCGGGGTGGGGAGGGGTCCTTCTCGCTCGTCGGAGGGGGAGAGCGGACACGTTGGGTTTTCTCATGCGCTTCTCTCCGCGGAGACGCTCGTTGATGTCCGCATCCCAAAACTGGAGTCCTCATACATAAGTCATCGCGCGGCGTGCGGGGTTGCGGGTTTTTCTTCTCTTATTTTTTTTAAAGAAAGAAAAAAAAGAAGACAAATCTCGCGTTTTCCCGCATGCGCGTGCTGGTGTCGTTCTTCCTCGTTCTTGTGTTTGGTCTTCTTTTTTTTTTTAAGACGCCGGGACGCGCAGGAAGGTGAGGGCTGAGACGGGCACGCAGGCAGCTCCGCACGCCGAATGAGGGAGTGGGTTTGGTCACGGCCGAGCGGGGGATAGTCCCATTGGTTTGAAATCATTTCGGTGGGCGTCACTAGAACAAAGACAAGCCCCTCCCCCACGCCCAAAACCGAGCTAATTCAATTACCGAGAGGTAGAGCTGGAAGGGGACAGGGGGGGTGAGGAGGTGCGCCGGACAGGGACCGCTTTTCAGAAACAGATCCGGGCGATTAGCGCGCATGGCGCAATTGAATCGCATGCAAACGAACGCAGCGAAGCGCAAAGGACAGCGGACTCCAATTACTCCCTCGCTTTTTTTTTGTTTTTAGATAAAATATCAGATAGTATACGGACTGATAAATAATCACAACATTTGTTGTATTTGGGTTTTTACGCCGATTTAATGATTTATCCATTCCCGATTATTTTTCTCCCCCAATATGTCCTACTCCAAATCAATCTTCTGCTCATTTTTAAAGTACAATTGTAGGAAATACAACTGCAAAATTGGTTACATCCAGTCTTCCCTCCAACCGAGAGAGGACGGCCACGCTTGGGCTCCGTGTAAAGACGCGACATGCAGCCGGTTCGCGGGGTTCAGGAGTCCGGACGCCCCGCAGCGGCGAGCGGGCGGGATCGCTGATGGAAATCGGGGACAAACCCAAGTCCGCCGGGGGAAACTGCGTCTGTTGTCGGCTGAAATTAGACAGATACACAAAAGGATGATTTATTGCCTTTAAGAAAATGAGCTGCGGGCCTATAGAGTCAGGTGGGAAATCCCTCACGATAATAACTGCAACGTAAATTCATAAGGATATAATGTGCTGAAAGCTTGGGGAGAGTTTACAGTGACAGGCACGTTAAACATCCAGTCTATATTTCTGCAGATTTACACTGTTGGAAGACACTCTTCACTATGTCTGCTGTGTGTCTGCCTGTGTGTCTGTCTGTGTGTTTGTCTGTGTGTGTTTGTCTGCGCAACAGGTGCTGTTGGATGTTTTTCGGGAGGAGAGAGGAAAGGGAGAGGAAAGGCAGAAGGAGGGAGGATGAGGGGAGAGAGCAGCTAATATTTTGAGATAATCCTCTTGACCTCTTCCCCACAGATGTTTGCAAACTCAGGGCCATTCACTTACATGTACCAATACACACTGGCTATACACACACACACACACGTTGCAACGCAGGCAAATATGATCACATACTCAAAACTAATTCATGCTTGATTTTGGACACACACACACACACCAGGGGGAACTGGTGGGGAGGTCAGCTTGGAGGTCAGTGAACATGGCTGTTTTCACACCCACTTTTACAGCCGTGACTGCATTCCTCTCCTGCTGCGTCCCATCTCCCTCTCTCTCACACACACACACACACACACACACACACACTCATTCAAAACTCACTTGAGAACGAGCATACATGCCTGAATAGAGTGCACAGCGTATACCCCCAGCTGCTTTCATTTTCTAAAGCATGGAAACAGAGCTTTCCCTCCCCATCCCCTCCTCTTAACCCGCTGTCACAGGCCTAGCGGGCCGCCTTGATTACTTCTCATGCAGGCTTATTTTCCTTTCTCACCCTTGTCCACATGTGCAGAGCACTGCAAACATGGCTCAACGTCTTTTTTTAAATCTGGTTGTATTATTTTTCTTTTCTCTATTTGACCATTAGGAGGGGAGGAAAACAATACCAACATCAGCTACCAGGGTGGAGATGATGTGTTTTCCCAGTGACATGAAAATGGGACGGACAGACACAATATGGTTATTCAAGCTCCCTTTGTTATTCTCTTGCAGCAATTGTAAACATTCACATCTTATGCACAAAAATATTCTTTTTTCAATTTTACCGGTGACATCGCCTTGACTTTCCCTAAAAAAAAAAAAAGAAAAATGGTTTAACTGATTGTACCGTACGAGTACATTTTCATGGTGATTCTAGTAATGCCCTTTTGATAAAGGCTACCTGCCTTCATCGGGAGCTTCAATATGATGTATTGAAGTGATTCCGGCCAAAATGACAAGTGTCTGGCATCACGCCCGAGGTTCTCCTCCTCTCTCACACTGTAATCTGTATGCTCGCAGAGCCGGGGTCACAGCAGGGTGAGATGGGAAGGCTGCTGAATGACTGACTGACTAGCTGGCTGGGTGGTGTGGGCTTTTTTTTTTTTTTTTTTTGTAAATGTTATTGTTCTTTTGCCAACAGCACAATTAGAGACAGCATCGTAACACCGACTCATTAAAAAGATGTGAAAATTTGGCTCGGCGTGTCTAGTGTCAACACGGCGGGTCAGGCATGCCAACAGGCAATTACAGACATGAAAAGCAAATAGGGTCCTTTGAACCAGTTCTCTTGCAAATATCAGTCAATTAGAGGTGTGTGACAGCAGCGAAACATGCCACACTACTTGCCGAAGCATTAATTAAAACTAATCGAATAGCCTTCCCTCAATGGAGATCCGTTGACTCCTTTGGATTTGGATTTCACTAATGAGTCAATCAGACGTCCTAACATTAGAGGAGATATAAACTAAATCATTGAGTGGATGCAGACAAAGTGGCACCGCACAGGTTTAATGGCTTGCCTTTAATACAATAATAAAACATTCAAAGGAAACATTAAAACTGCTCTCAGGAAACCTTTAAAATCAAAGTTCTCTAAAGTATCGCTCAATTTCACAATACGTTACTCGGGTATGCACAGTATAACGTGGTATAGCATTTCTCTGATATATCTGTTAAGTGTTAGGATACAATCATGTCAACACGTCTCCCTTTTTGATCCCCACGCAGACTTTCATATGCGGACGCAGATTACGCTGCGTAGCCTACGAGCAGAAAACACCTTTCCACCTCTTGAGAGCGCCGACGTGAAATTTGAGAGGATAATAATAATATTTTGCCTTAATACAAGAAGGCTCGAAAAGTTGTTGGGAAATAAACACTTGGCGGCACCTCAGAATACTCATCATTTGGTCAGTCGGGATCTACTGTAAATGCAAGTGTAGCATTCCAAACGTCAGTGTCTAGTGTCTCTCCGTTCATTCACTTGACAAAAACCTTTCTCATTACATCAGAGCTCATTGAGAACATTACCTTCCTTCTCGGTGCCGCTCCCTCACTTGCTCTTAATTCTCTGCTGTCTCCCTCTTTAGAATGCATATTAGATTAAAGATTTTATTGTCACACTCAATGCACTTAGAGCGTTGGCAAACTAAATCACAGGGAGACAGCATGTCATAGAAGAGACACCTTGGGTTTACTAAGTCATGACGAGCCAGCACAAATCGATGAGAGGGACTAATCGGATGTATCTGCTGGGACGGGCCCTGCCCTGAATCCAAATGACGGACAACAGACGGGGGGGCCCGACGTCGCCATTAGTACGCCATCGGTGCAGTAGATACAGCAATGTAAGGGACAAGGGCTTCCTATTGGATGATGAATCAGGTTCTTGAACGAGACAGCCAAGGTCCTTCTATTCATGCAGAGAAAGCAGGGACCTACAGCGCCGACGGCTGCCCTGCGTTTCTTTCAGGCGCAAGAGACAAAGAGAGAGAGAGCGATGAAGAGAGCGATGAAGAGAGCGATGAAGAGAGCGCGTTGCGTGTGAACGCTTTTGTGTGCGTACGCGTACTCGCAAGGACAAAATGTGCTGTCAATCATCAAAATAATTAAATGACTTGTATTTAAACAAAAAAATCCGAACCCGTGTGACTGATTCAGCCTCTCTTGATGTAAGCTATGGATAGTTTGGGAAAGGCCTTTGTCATGGTTTAAAACCCCATGAGCAGGTTCAGCGTAGAGCTTGTCACTCATATTTCATACTGATCAATGTGTTTTTTTTATTTTTTTAAATTGTGTTGCTATTGCAATGCTTTTGAGAAATATATGTCTCCCAGAAGGCAGTCAACATGGGAACATGGCCAATAGCCTCAGTATATCTTTACAAATGTATATATTCATAAATGGTGCGTTTAAGTGTTGGCATTTTGCAGGGGGGGAAAAATAGGTGACAGACTTTCAGTTACATTATGGGGTCTATTGGATTATGCCATTGAAATTTACATTATGTACTAGGAAAAGACTAAGGAGGATAAAGACCTCATCCTTTATTTTATTGCATATTCACTTACTATGGATTAGTTAAATAAATAGATTTAATTATGATTAAACGTCTTTCCTTAGGTGTTTGTTTCTTGGGTTAGAGACCTCACTGCTCCTAGAAGGCCGGATGCAAACCTCTTTCATTCAGAGATTCTGCAATACTGCTCCTACATTACACTCTGCTTTTTTACACTTAACATTACATTACGTGTCATTTAGCTGACGCTTTTATCCAACGATAGTGCATTTCAACCATAAAGATACAAACCCAGGAGAACAAGAAACAAGAAAGTGCAATTTCAACCAAACGACGCCGACATAATTCTGTCCCACAGTGTGATTTTAGAGAGCATGCATTTGTTTATGGCAACAAAAGCAGCATCTAGTGTGTGTGTGTGTGTGTGTTGTATCGCCATGCAGGCTGTCCCTACACACAGACGTCAAGCCGGCTCTGTTGCTACCCCTGCTGCAGGCTTCACGCCCAAACAACTCAGCCCCCACCCATCCCGTCCTCAAAACAGAACAGGGAGATGGAATTTAATGGCACCACATTCGCGTCTTGAATAGACTGTGTAAAAAGGGGCTGAACAAAAAAACAAAATGTCAATGTTGCCTTCGGTTTTCTAGTGAAAATACGCAACGTTTTAAATGAGTATATCTGTAAAAGTTGGATATATGTGCTTAGCACTACAATGTGGGAGGTAGATGGAAAAAATAAATAATAATAATGGAAAATAGAAAGGATATATGCTTTTGATATTCTTCCAAAGTGTAATGCCATTAGATTTGAGGCAATATGCTTGGCTCAGTACAAAGGAAACACAAATCACCCACCAGCACCTCTAGAGCTCAGATATTGACACATCATTCTATTTGTTTTATTTGAACAAAGAAAACAACGCTTGGAGGAGAA